GAGAAAGAAAAAAAAAAGAACGGATGATTACGGTCTGAAAGTTTTTCTGAAAATGCAATTGAAAAAAAAGAAGCTATTTAAAGTAAACTAGTAAACATTGGTTCAAACGTTACCTAAACCACAGCTTAGTCTCTAAAGACCGTCATGAAAATATCTTTTCAGCGTTTAAAAAATTCTGCAACTAGGTGTGAAGATTATATTTATTTTACAATTTCATTACTCCTTCCCTCGCTGTTTTATCCAAAAATTATTGTGATTGGTTTTAACCTCCCGTTTTAACTAAGCAGTTTAAATAAATTCATGAAATAGATATAAATAAAGAACATATTTTCTAACACATTTCAACTAATTTTTTAAAAGTAATTACAGTTATGTTTAAACCATAGAAATGTCTTTCATAGTATTTCTATCATTTTAGATTAGTTGAGAATCAACAAAATGAAACTCTAAGAGATGTGACAAATGATCGGAAAGTAGTTGATTTCTAACAAAACGGGTTTTAAAAGGCTTTCATTTTTTCATTTCATTTTTGTTTCATACCAGGTTTTCATTACTTGTCACCCATCATCAAAAAAACTTGGCTGTAAAAAATACACTTGAAGATGAGTTAATTGTAGTAAGGCTTTTATTTTTCAGCTATATTGCTAGCTTTTTGCAATCATGTTTTAAAAAGATATTACTGAAAAAAGCTAGCGATATAGCGAAAACATTAGAATAAAATTTATTATCATAGTGAAGATTATCTCTAAAAAGTGACACCTTAATAAAATAAACAAATAAAATTAAAAAATATCACAAGACAAGGAAATAATATAGAGACTAAACTAGAATAAAAAGAGAAACGCAAAAAAGACATAAAAACAATAGTATTAAAAAAATCAGAATCTGTTTAAAAACATTAAAGATTTTCTCGTACATTTGTTCTCACTCATCTGATCTTACCCGTTCATTCTCATTATTTTTTTCGTTTTTTTAAGCCTTACTCCGTATTGCCTAAAAAGCGAAACAAAAAAAAAGGAGAATGAACAGGTTAGATAAGATGAGTGAGAACAAATGTTCTAGAAAACACAAATTAAATGACATAAGTTTAAAAAGATAGAGCGAGAGAAAAAAATTTCCATAGACATGTATAAAGAAAAGATATGAATGCAAATTAACAAAAAAATATATACACACACTGCTACAGACAGTATTAAGCTCTATATTCTATATTTTGTTTAGTTAATATATGCGTTGCATATATTAACTAAACGAACATAGAATAGGTTTCGTTTAGTTAATATATGCGTTGCATATATTAACTAAATGAAAGTAAACAGAAACTCAATCGACAGAGAAAAATGCAAATAAAAGTTAAATAAATATAATTTTTTTCATTTTTCTCTGTCGACTAAGTTGCTGTTTTCATTTGTAAACTTTTGTTTTGTGCTACTTTTTGTAAGTAACGAGTTACTAGAAAAAAAGAAAAGAGTTATAGAGAAAGAAAACGGTTGACAGAAGACTTAAAAGGTTGTAAGTTGTATAAGTCAGGAAAACTACTTCGAGCAGCAACCATAATAATATTTGTTAAAAGGAGAAAGATATGCAACTTTACGACAATTGAAAAGAGGCTCTTGCTTATAGAACGATTATTAATCGAAAAGAGGCTGTAGCTTATAGCAGATAGAGCGAGTCCAACTACGTTTACAATGCGTCTTTATATCTTGCCTCAAACAGAAAGCGAATCATTAGAAGAACCAGCCCGAATAAGACTACAGTGTTACAGGGACGAATAAAAGACTTATAGAGGTAAAGAATAGAATTAAGAGTGAGAAAATGGCAAGCGCGATAAAGAGAAGTAACCTTAGCAGGTGCTAATTTAGCAATTAATTTTAAATATAGTTTCTATAAGATGTCAGTAGTAAATAATAATCCAAGAAGACGTAAAGAAGAGAACTCAGTAAGAGGGTTGCCATTAGATATAGGAATGTCAACAGTATTGTGATAGTTGCTTGCAATAAATAACTGATTTTAATTTTGGAATTAAAATTCACAAGCCACTGCAAAACCCAATCTAATACAGAAGTGAGATCAGGTTTGAAATTGACTACCTGTTCCAATCAATAGAATAGAGAAAACGTTTTATCATGACAAGATTATTAGTTATCAGCAAAAAGATTTTAATTATAAAGTTGTGGGGGAGATTATTAACGTAGATAAGAAACAAAATAGAACCAAGGAAAGAACCTTAAGGTACCCTAGAAGTTACTGTAAATAAGTAAATGAAGAAGAGTATTGGCCTGCAAAGATAAATTTAATGAAGTGGTTAGAAAGAAATGATTTGATGATCTCAAACACTTTTCCTGAAACTTTGTCGAAAGCTAATAGCCTAAGTCTATTTATCTCGAAACAGCCGTAGAACAAGATCAAAAACCGTAATAGTTGTCTGACTGTAAGTTACTTTACTCAAGAAAAAAGACTCAAAAACCTTGCTAATAATATGAAGAAGAATGATCACAAGACAAAACTAATATTAGAATGGTCAGAATGTTCTTTTTTTTTTGTCATTTAGGTGCCCATAAAAAAACATAACGGTTTGAGCACCGCGAAAGCGCATTTAACTAAGAAGTTCACGCGTCCTTCCTTGCCGTGATGCGATAATATCTCCAGAGTTCGGTTATATGTCAGCGTTATATTACCTGATATAGATGACATGAATGACATAAAGCTAGGTATTGTCCAGTCAGATAAACTTCAAAGGTCATGACCATACAAGTCTGATATCATGCAACAAAACGCACTGTGGTGTTAAATATACCAATATTCTTTTAATTTAAAAGTTTTTCAAAAAACTTTTACCTTCTGCTGCAATTATTAGCTGTTACACAATGCAACAAAGACTTAAATTTTTATTCTTTCTTAATGTATTTTTTGCCATTGAATATAACAACCACATTTGTTTTGACGTAGCATTGATAGTTATTTATCTATACCTAATTTCATATTTTTTTTGATATCGGCAGACTTTCTTTTAGTTAGTATATTGTATCAGTTCATTCTAATATTTTTGTAATAGTATTTTTTTATATATTATTATATTTTATATTATTATTATAATAACATTATTATTATAATAACATAGCATATAAGATCTTTTTATATATTGAAAAGGTATGTTGTTAACTTAAAAGGGGCTCATATTTATACTACAAAATAATACCTCAAATATATAGAATTTACTAAATTAAATAATCTTATTGCCCTGAAGAAAAAACTAAAAGATTTCATAATTAACAAAACCAATTTTATTGATATGTATTAAAATGTAAAAATAAATAAATAAATAAAAAAATAAAATAAAAACATTGAAAAAAAGAACAAATGTATTTAGCAACTATACATAGTAAAATATTAATGAACAGTAGACCTCAAAAAGTTAGTGTGTTTCATAAATTTACTTTTTAAATTTTTAGTTTATTTTGTATTTTAGAGGTTTTCGATGAAAAGACTTCTCTTAGTCTTCTGCGAGTTTCCTTACAACTACATTGTATTATTATAATATATTAATATATATTTTCAACGACAACCACAAGCAAGACCCTAAAAGCCCTGTGGTGCGATGGGCTTGTGTATACTTTTTAAATGCATGGTTTAATAGACAGCCCTTTATATTATAAACGAAACTTTTAAATTTATTATTTTAACTCAATGTCAAACGCGCATGCGTAAAATGACATTATGTTAACGCTCTTTAGATATGATAAATATGAGTGGTGGACATATATATATAAACTGGAGACGTAAATATTATTTGTTTTTGAAATATATATTAATGATTGTTATAAAAAAAATAAAAACAAGATATGACTGCAGCAAGCATAAGACAATCATCTTACGATCATGCCTCTTTAAGTTTAATTATATATTCAAATCAATATTAATAAAATATAAAATAACCACAAAAATATAAAATATTTGAAATACATATATTATGTACTACCAATATAAATAAAATAGCCAAGTAAATGTATCATAACCAAAAGTTGTAAAAAGGTCTAACCAGATTTTGATATATTAAGACAAGACTCAATTTTAATATTCTCCAAAAATTTATATCAGCATCATTAACTTTATTTATTTCATTGATCTTTACCGACAAGAGAACATTATATAGGTATGCCGTTGTCCTTGATATCTACTTTCTATTTTTGCAATGACTCGATGAAACCTCTCACCATGCTCCTCACTGACCTTCAATCACCCTTGTTTTCGGGGAAAAAACCTTAGTGTGAAAACAACATATGAATCCTTATGGATATACAACAACCCAATTTCTTGAGGTTTTTTCATTAAACTTTGTAACCAGTTATTTGTAAACAGGGTCCTTGCGATTTCCTAAAAATCCCACTTAATACCCAAACCAAATAGTAACAAAGATGAGATGAGAATATTTCGTAATAGATATTACAAAGGGAATACTTTATCGATATATCTTGTTAATAATATTCATTTTTTATAACATCTTGTTAACGCGCATATACGACATAGTTGAATTACCTTATCGACCTTGTTTTATATCTTTTCAATAAAAGGTCTGAAAAATGCTATAGGTTGTCGAAAATGTAAAAAAAAATAAAACACTTTAATATTAATAAAACGTATTATTATTAACATCTTTTCGCAAAAATTACAAACATTGCGTTTTACACAAAAATGGCGTTTTACTTTTTTTTATAAATTAATTTATTTCGATATATAAAAATATTAAAAAATAAAATCCTATAAAAAGATAAAAACCGTAAACATCGTTTACCATAAACATCGTTTTATTTACAAGAACTGCATATTTTATAAAGAAATTTACAAAAATGTCATTAAAAAAGTTGACTTTAAAAAACAAGGTACTTTTGCCAAAAATTAAAAATTGCGCTAGACACAAAAAAAAAAAAAAAAAAAAAAAAATTAAAAAATAAATAAATGAAAAGCATTGTTGTTTTATTTAATGACAACAATAAAAAAAGTTTTTCTTTTTGGCTATCGTTTTTTTAATATCTCTATTTTTTCTTTTAGTTTATATTAAAAATGTATATATAATAATAAAACGTTTTAAAAAATAATCAACATTCAACTAAAGAATTTCATCATACACCTTGTTTTTAATAGGATATCAACGATTGACGCTGGTAATCAACTTGTGAGTTATCTGCCAATCAGAAAATCAGAAGTTAGTTAATTCCAATTTATCATTTTTCTTTAAACAAGTATTTTATAAAAATCATGTAATTAACTTTTTTTTCTTCTGTTCTTATTCTTTATTTCGTATATCATTTCCTATTCTCTTTAAATTAGCACATATAATTCCGGTCTTTTTTTTAATTTATTTTATTAAAAATCACTCACTTTAGTCGAAACCACTTTAATTTTCTATTGAGTCCTCATTTTGAGAAGAAACATAACCACGTCCTGACTTTAGAGCAAAAATCAAATCTTCAAACTCAGCTGACTCCAACTTGTCACTGGCATCATCATACTCATTATGATCATGATCGTTGTCACCACTATTATTGTCTTCATTTTCGAAATAAATATCGTTCATAACACCGCGAACCCTAGAAGAAGAAGGTGTCAACTGAACTCTAGGATCAACTGATCTGGTTTTTAAAATACTTGCAGAGGTTGAAACAGGTGTCATAGGCCTTAAATCAACAGTATCCCACTCATTCTAAATTTAAGAAAATAACTCAAAAACTAAAAAAAATCTATAAACAATTTAAAAATAGTATATACTTAGTATACATTTATATAAATCTATAAACAATTTAAAAATAGTATATACTTATATAAACTATAACTTATATTTAATAAATATTGCTTTATATTAAATATGTATAATAACTAATTAATAATAACATTTTTATATAACTACGATAACTATGTTTAACTATCTATAATTATGATAATTATAGTTATGATGTATATGATCTTCAGCTGTATTTTGTTCAATACTAGATTTCATAATTTTTAAAAAGACTGAAAAATCTTCGAGGTTATCTCATTCGTGAATTATTTAATAATTAAGTTTTCGGTAATTATTACAAGATAAACAACTGCTGAAAGAGTTTGACATTCAAGTTAAAAGATGCACTTGGATGTTTTTCGATAAGAGATGTACTTAGTTAAGAAATGTATTGTAAAATGAAGTATTTATAGATAGTACTTCTAGATAATTTTTTTTAGATGTTTCTTGGGTGATTCTAGATGTTTCTAGGGTAATTCTAGATGTTTCTTGGGTGATTCTAGACGTTTCTTGGGTGAAATATTTTATGTTGAAAGAGTTAAAAGAAAAAATATAAATAATTATATTTACTAAATCTAAGTAGTCTCGTTGAGCAAATTTATTCGTTTTTAATTCAGGTGATCTATAAATAATATTAGGTAGCTCCATATTATCTTCGGTTTGCTTCACATCATACTCTCCTTTAGTAATATGGCGCATTTGGTTTCGAAAAATTGCATAAACAAACAGAATATATAAGCCCTAAAAATAAGAAAAATAGAAAATCATTAAAAAATAACGATAATAAAAATATAAACAACAATAAAAAACAACAAAAATCCAAATTTAAACTAAACAAATGTAACAATTTGTTTACTCATGCAAGCCTCTTTTAGTCATGCAAGCCTCGTTTGGTCATGGTAACCTCGTTTGATCATGCAAGCCTCGTTTGGTCATCGAAAGACAATTTTTTCACATAAGCTAATATCAAAATAATATATACCGCTTCTAATAATAATATATACCGCTCCTAAAACTTAACAACCAAGAAAATCACCAAAAGGCAAACCAACACCCAATTCAGTTAAACAAGTCAATCAATTAATAATTATTACAAATTAATAAAATACATAACCACGCAACTATAGCAACATCAATAACATAAAAAATAAAAAAAAAAAGCTTATTTAATATTAAAGACATAATCAAGACAAAAAATCATTTAAGTATAAATAGTAAATAACAATCATAATAAAAAAAAAGGATAAAAAAAAAATTCTTACTGTAATAACATTAAAAAATGTAAAAGCTATTATCATCCACATATATCTGTATGCTAAATGTAATCCACCAAACAACCATGTTGTTGAAATTAAAGCAAAGAGAATCATGACATGACGCACTTCTAAACATAAATTAGATGTTTTAAACATACTGTATTATTTAAAACTATATTATTTATCTAATAATGTATCTTATATTCATCTTTTTTAAGTTAGTTTTAATTTATACTTTTGAAGACTAACAACTGTATCTGCGGTTTTGTTAAGTAATTAGCTGTAATTTGCCTAAACAAATCATTTAAATACACTACTACGGTCTTATAATGCTTCACTTTATATACTATCATGGTCTTACAAAGCTTAACATTATGAGAACATAGTTGTCTCTTTTAATTAAAAACAATTGTTATGAATTGGTAGGGAGCTCCATTCATAAGTGAGTAATAGCAAGCTTGATAGTTACTTGTTTCATGTAGCAGCGGTTTTGTTTGCTTTTAGTTTTAGAGTTAGAAAAATGAGATAGGAATGTAACAACAATTAAAAAGAAACCATTCATGACTGTAGTAATGTCCTCGTTCTTGGGGAGATAAAAAAAACAAAAAAATCAAACTATTATAAGATTACAGTTTTTTTAGTTTAAAGATCAACTACAGTATCATTAAACTAAACTATCGTCTGATCAAAACCAAATGTTGTAGATAATAAGAAATAAAAACTTAGAAGATACATTAAACCAAATATTTTAGATAATAAATAATAAAACCTAGAAGATGTATTAAAAAACCTTTTATATTATAACGTCCTCTGTACACATCGTCATAAGACTTCCATTGAGGAGTAAGTTGGTAGGCTTGCACAAAAACTATACTTGATGCTAATATAAGCAGCAAAACAGGAATAACAGCAACTGAAAAAGCTGCATAAGCTTGAGGAATGAAGCACCTGTCAAAAGAATTGTATGTTTATATAAAACTTAACTAAATGTTAAAAACACATTAAAATTTCTATAGCATAAAATTTAAATTTTAACTCAAAGTTAAAAATCCAATAAAAATTATATATATATGTGTATATACATATATATATATATATATATATATATACATATATATATATATATATATACTATATATATATATATATATATATATATATATATATATATATATATATATATATATATATATATATATATATATATATATATATATATATATATATATATATATATATATATATATATATATATATATATATATATATATATATATATATATATATATATATATATATATATATATATATATATAAGGGTTTGCCATCCCGGGATCCCAGCCCTTTATAGAATCCCGAAATCCGGGGATTGTCAAATATCTATCCTGAGATTCTCTATACAATCGAGCAAAACAAAAGGGAAATTAAAAAATATATAAAAATAACAAAAATTTATGCACATCATAATTGTTGTTATTTTTATATAACAATTTTTATTTAAAATGATATCATAGAAAGTGATTATATTTTCAGTTATTCTGTTCTGTAATTCTCCCAAATAAACTTTTTTAAACTGAAAAAAAAAAACGTGTATTTCTTACAAGGTTTACTCTTAAAATTAAAACTTAAATAAGCATGGCGTATGATGATTTTACAATTAAAAGTAACTCAGCTGTTTGGAAATATTTTTTACGAGAAGAGAAAGGACAAACAACAATGTGTAAATTGCCAAACTGCAAGAGGATTTTAAAAATCTATGGTATTTCAACAAAAGGTCTTCATATACACATGTTGTCAGTGCATAATGTGAAAGTCAAAAATCCAACCCAACCTAATATTACAGGAGAAAGCACATCAGATAAACCACCAAAAAAGAAATCTAAACAACTAACAGAATACTTTTTGATTTTTGAAAAGGAAGATAAAATACTTCACGCTAAACTTGCTTGTCTAACGGCATCTGAGGGACTTTCATTTAATGTGATTTGTTATTAAATAGATTTATGTGCTGCTCTAACTGCTATAGGATACAGAAATCTACCAACGCCAGTAAACACAATTTGTAATCATTTAGTAGAGTACAGCAAAATAGTAAGATTAGGTTTAGTTCAGCAAATTAAAGCACTTAAGAATACAGAATTCAGAGTAGGAGAGAAATTTTCTTACAAATTTTTTTACAAATGGACATCACTTCAATATCGTCGCTTTATGAATTATAACCTTCATGGAAAAAATTCTCAGTTTTAGAGTGCATTGAACTATTAGAAAAAAACTTAAAGACCATTGCCTTGATATAAACAATGACATTGTGGCTATAATGACCAACGGAGTTAGTGTTTTGAAAAAAGTTGGAAGGTTGCAGGCTGAAAATCAACAATTATGTTTTGCCAACAGCATACAACTTGCTGTAATTGATGTTCTTTATGAAAAAATGAGAATTTGATATAAATCAGCCAGAATTTGAAAAAGAATTATTTGATAGTGATTCATCCGAGAATGAAGATATTGAGGAAGATTTACTGGGCTACAATCATGAAACTTTAAGATCTAAAATTGAACTAAATGAAGTTTATTATGGACCAGTAATTAAAAAAGTGCACAAGTTGATAATAATATTTAGACGATCGTCTACCAAGAACAACATCTTACAAAAATATATTAAGGCTGAATTTGGAAAACAACTGTCTTTAATTATGGATTGCAAAACAAGATGGAGCAGCCTTCTGTTAATGCTTAAACGATTTTATAAAGTATAAAATTGTATACAAAAATCACTAAGTGATATTTACACCGTGCAAGATAATTCTATAGCTCTGTCGCATGATGATTTGACAATATCAGACATTATTACAACTTTAATTCCTATTAAAGCAATGGTTGAAGCACTTTGTCGCCGAGATTCTAACCTATTTACAGCTGATGTTGCTAATAATTTTATGCTTACAAAATTAAAAGATGTTGACAATAACACAAGCAAGGAAATGGGTACAGCTTTAAAGGCTCGTATACATGAACGCCAAACTCATATGAGTCAACTTTTGCAATACCTCTATAATGGTCAAAGCTCCGTTGAAGTTGATGAAGAAATAATTACAGTGCCTTCATTATTTAAATATCGAAAACATGGTTGGTAAAATTGCTGGAAAGATTAAACCCTTACAACCCTGCTTTAGTAAGAGCATCAGTCGAGTCTGATATGCTGGATTTTATTAAAGAACCTTAAACTGAAAATAACACTTTAAGTACTGAAGAGGAGCTTGAGAGTGTAATTAAAAAAGCACAATCACCAATGCAACCAGTTAGACATTAAAAATTGTTATCAAAAATTCAAAAAGAAATGATATTATTTTAAAACGGTGGTACATTTGGTGATTATTTAGAAAGAGTTTATTCATTTCTAATGATAGTGAAACCGACAAGTGTTGAGGCTGATCAGGCATTTTCTTCCACTGGACAGTTTAATAACAAAACTCATAACAGGTTGGGCAGTGAAACATTGGACACGTTGTGCTTCCTGAAATCACATTTCAAAGTACATGAAACATGATATATTTCCTTATTTCTAAAGAAATTTCTTAACATTAATTAACATGTTTTTCTTTTATGCATGTAACGATGTAATGCAAACAGCATCATTTATAAAACATATTTTTGTTTAAGAATGTACTGTTTTTATTCTACTTAATACTATATAGATGCTATATCTGTTTTTCAATTGCGGGATCCCAGGATTGATGTTTTATGAGTGTTTTAAGATTTACATTGCTTTAAACTAAAAAAAGTTATTCAGTTTAGGAAAATTTACAAAAAAAAAAAAATTGATATATATATATATATATATATATATATATATATATATATATATATATATATATATATATGTTAGGGTTTGCGATCCAGAAGGTCTTTCTCAATCCCAGGATTCCGGGATTGAGAAAGACCTTCTGGATCGCAAACCCTAACATATATATATATATATATATATATATATATATATATATATATTATATATATATATATATATATATATATATATATATATATATATATATATATATATATATATATATATATATATATATATATATATATATATGTTACAACCTATGTTTATAAATAAAGGATTAAAAAGTTTAAAATCACAATTACTCGGAAGGCCTTATGTTCCACATTTTTATTCAACACTCACACTACTGATTGCCACATTCAAACTTTTTAAAAATAGAAGTAAATAAACAACATAAAAGATAAACAGCTTTTAGAAATAATATTTTATACAAAATTTAGGAGAAAAACAAAATAAATTAACAAAATTTCAAAGCTATAGATCTTGTTTTTTTTTTTTGTTAATATTTTTTAAGGGTCATGTTTTATTTTTCAAATTCTTGCACAATTCTTCAACCAGACATGTTTTTCTTTACTATTGCAGTCATTCTCAATCTTTTTGAACACAATAAATAAACACAATAAACTAAATAAATAAATAAAATAAATAAATAAAAATATTTTATTGAATTCTAGTACAACAAACTTATCTAAACTGTTAAAAATTGTGTTAAAAAATTATATAAATAAAAACATGATATTTGTAACTATAAAAAAAGTAAAAGTTTAAGTAAATTAAATAAAATAACCAAAATATTTTTTAGAATATATTGTTTCAAAAAATATTAGTCATTTAAACCTATTCAACTATTCAAAGTTACAAGAGGAATAAAGAATTATAATGTATCATATAAACATAAAAAAATTACTTTACAACTGTGTCTGTTTATTATAAACAATAATTTAAAGTTTTTTGAGAAATTTTATTTTAACACAATTTACACAATGAAAAAGATCAAAGTACCAAAATTTAACTACAAACAATATGTAATTAAACTTTGAATATATGAGTTTGGTACTTTGATCTAATGCTATCTTTTTTGCTCTACAATTCTACACAAAAGGCCAGTGATAAATATGATAAATATGAATATAAATATGAAGGCATTTTTATCTCAATTTTAAATTATTTCAGCCTTTTTTTCTGCGCAATGGTTTTGCTCATTTAAAGTTTGCTTTTAAGAGTAAAAAAGTTGATAAAAGGTTGTAACAAGTTTCATTTAATTTTGTTCATTTAAGGTTTGCATTTAAGAGTAAAAGAGTCAAGAAAAATTGTATAATTGTAATCAAGTTTCCCCACAAAATAGTTTAAAAAAATAGTTTTTTATTTATATGTCTATCAGGGCCAGTATTATGTTTTATTAAGATACTTCATAACATAAACTTAAACTAAAGGTTTTTTAGTCAGCATTGACCTTTTTTTTTGGGGGGGAGGGGGACTGCTTTAACGAGGTGGTTTAGTCATGATATAAAATTATAAGTGTTATATAGATATGAGTACTGGTAAAATATAAATGAATAATAAATAAATAAATATATTTTACAATAGTTCAAATGCTTTTAAACAAAATAAAAATAAAATGCTTACATATCACCATCAATATGGACATCTGCGTACATTTTAACAAAACTCCATCCCCAAATAGCATATGTTATAAAAACATAGCAGATAATAATAACAAACGGAAAACCTGTAATGATGTAAACATACAACAAAGTTTAATTAAACAATTTACTTGATAAAATTATTTATTATTTATGCTTATTTATGTTTATTTTTACCTATTTAAATATACTTTTGTTATATATATATTACTTGTATTTTTATTAATATGTTATTTAACTTTCATTAAAATTGTTAAATAAATAACACATAAAACATGTTAAATAAATATAACACATAAAATAGCACATAAAACATGATAAATAAATATAACACATAAAATAGCATGCAAAACATGTTAAATAAATGTAACACATAAAATAGCACATAAAACATGTTAAATAAATACATTATATTTATTTAACATATAAATAAATTGTTAAATAAATATGCAGATTTCAACTTTTAACTCTACTTTTTAATAATTAAGAAATAAAATTGAAAATAGAAATCTGGGGAAAATCAAATTAAAAAAAAAAGAAGAAAAAAGTTATAATAAAGATTAAAAAAATCTATACCCCAACCAATAAGAAAAAAAATGATAAATTTTCTATAACTGTGTTCATCATTCATTACAAGGATGCGCCATAAGTTGCAAGTCTTAACAAATAAAGAATTTAAAAAATAATATTTTTATCATTTAAAAAAAATAAACAGTTGTAATAAAGTAACCCATTCAACAACAAAAAAATTGTTATAATATTCTTTAAAACATTTAAATATAAATAATCACAAAAAAAAAAAAAAAAAAAAAAACAGTGTTTAAAAAAAAATCATACACTACCTGAGCAAACATTGTTGTAAACTGAGCCAAAAAAAAATAATGAAGAAATGCACCTAAAACGCTGCATGCCTCATGATCATAAAATAATGTAGGACTCAGGTATGCACCAACTGCATATAAAATCTAAACAAACCTCAAAAACTAATATTTTATTACAGCTTTTATAAAAACTAAACAAACTTCTCAAAATCAAAACATTGTTATTAAAATAAATAAGAAAACAATCCAAAAAATATCAAACTTTAACAATTATGA